TTATACAATATTGAACTCAGTATAAGCCCTGTAAGACATAAAATTGAATGAGGTTTTAACCTTTAAAAAGGATCTCCATTTCATTTTAAAATATACTGTTTCTTACAGAAAGACACATTGTTTTTGCTAATAATATTGTGATGTTGGTGCATGTGTCTCTAATCAGTATGTATCTGATTATTACTAGCCATAATCAATTGCACTTGGATCCTTGGGACCTGTGTATGTCTATAAAGTCATCAAGTAGATTTCAGCTGTAATGTTTATCACCTCTACTAATTAACATGATGTAAATTTTTATGCTTCCTCCTCAAATATAAGACATTGCTAAAAATCTGTTGACACTTGGACCCTTGGCGCCTGTGTATGTCCATGAAGTCATTGGGTGGATTTCAGTGGTAATGTTTATCACCTCTACGAATTAGCATGATGTAAATATCCATACTTCCTCCTCAAATATAACACATTTTTAAAAATTTGTTGATTATTTTTATGTGTGTGTATATCACACAGAACATCCCAAACCATCTTATTCAACTGTACACCCACTTCCCAGATGGCCCCCTCCCATAGCCCCCCACTGGTTTCTATTTTTATCTTTTAGGTTTTATTTTTAATTTGTAATTGTGTGTATATACTCGCGTGAGTGTGGGTTTGTTCACACGAGTGCAGTGCTTGCAGAGGCCAGAAGAGGGCATCAGATCTCCTGGAGCTGGAGTTACAGAGGGTTGTGAGCCACCTGATATGGGTCCTGAGAACCACGGGTCTCTGCCAGAGCAATAGTCACTCTTGACCACTGAGCCAACTCTTCAGCCCCTCTGGTCTTTTTCTAGACATTTATTTATTTGGGGAGTGGGAAGGCATGTGCATGCCATGGCATGCCTGTGGAGGTTAGAAGACAACTTTTGGGAATCTGTTCTTTCCTTCCACCATGTAGACGTGTCCTGGGGATCAAACACAGGTCGTTGGGCTTGGTGGCAAGCATGCCTACCATGGTGAGCCATCCCACCTGCTGTTTTATTGTACCTGAGAAGACAGCAACAACCAACGTGCCTTGCCCTGCACTGGGACACTAAGCATGCATTGTCTTCTCCCCTATGTCCAGGAGTGATAACTGGTCTCACTCTTTGCAAACAAGTTGACCGTGTGCTACAAGTACCTTAAGAAAATCCGTATCCTTTGACCTTGTGATCTAGCTCTCCCCAACAGAAGATGGCAATACCACAGAAATTATTACAGTCGGAACTTCCGCAGTGCTTATCCAACGGAGCAGCGTCATAATTGGAGATGCCCAGAATAATGCTAATTTGATTTGATTCTGTGAAGTCAATAGCCAGCCCAGTGCCCAACAGGGAGATTGTTCATTGCATGCTGTCAATATACAGCTGAATATTACACAGAGAAGAAAATCCCATTGGAAAATACTTACGATGTGGTTGGAAAAAAAAATCGCATCCTGTGTGATGTGGCTGGTACGGAGGAAAGCTTAGGGGAGGTACAGAAGTAAAGCTATGCTGTTTGAACTTGCAGACGGTGGAGTACAATATCTTCGAGGGCATGGAGTGCCACGGCTCACCTGTGGTGGTCATCAGCCAGGGCAAGATTGTCTTTGAGGATGGAAACATCAGCGTCAGCAAGGGCGTGGGCCGCTTCATCCCGAGGAAGCCGTTTCCTGAGCACCTCTACCAGCGGGTGAGGATCAGGAGCAAGGTGAGTGCCTTCGAGGAGGGCCCTGTGCTGTCAGAGCCACACCCCTTTCTGCACAGAGTTGACATGGGCCTCTGTTTTCTTCATCTGGGCCTGGGCTTGTGTCTCAGGCCCCAGTGAGCAACAGACAAGATCAGGAAGGTTGCAGGGCCTTTGGGGCTGTAGGGGGAGGGGCATGTACCTGCGAGGACAGGGTGTGTGTAGGAGGGACACTCACGAGCTACCCTGGGCTCTGTCTTTATCATCTTTGGGATCCTCACATAGCTCACCCGAGGGTGGTGAGCCTTATTGCCATATTAGAACCCCATGCTCAGAGCCTCGAGGGATTTATACAGTCCCAGCCATCATGGTGGGACTACATAGCCCAGCATCCTCAAGGACTGGCTCCCTCCTGCTCTGCCCAGCCTTCTCCTCCTCGCCTGCCATGTCTACATCCACCTTTTCCTCCAAGGTTCTGAGCCAAGGAAGGAGGACCCAGAAAAGCATAAAGCAAGGTCCATCCTTGTCTCTGTGTGACTCTTCACTGGGGCTGTCCTCCCTGTATACACTGTCACCATAGCAACCAATTTCCCACACTCCAACTGATGTTGTGTGCCAGAAAGACCAAATATACATGTTGCCTGTGTATCTGTGCTTCTTGCTTATAGTATGCATGCACACATACATATGCCCACTCCGTGTGCTATGTATGCATTCACACATGTGCACTCATCATATGTACTGTGTACATGCATGTGTGCATTTGTCCATTACATGTATTATGTATGTGTGCATGTGTGTGAGTTTGCCCCTTGCATGTACTGTGCATTTATGCATGTGTGCATCTGTCCCTTGCATGTATTATGCATGTGTTCATGTCTGTGCTTGTGTCCATTGTGTGTGCTGTGTATGTGCTGTGTGTGCATGCATATGGCTGTGTGCATTGCATGTTAGGATATGTGCACATGTGTACATCTGTGTGTTCCATTCCCATGTTAATCAAGTGTGGCACCACCACTGTTGTCCAGATACCCTCCTAGCTTCCTGACCCCACAAGGTGCTCACCATCTGTCTGCTGTCCCTCTGCATCTGCCACAAGGGCAGCAGCAGGTAGAGACATGCACAGGCACTGTCATCAGCTGGGAAGATCATGTATGGGTGTGCAGAGGGGCAGAGTAGGCCAGGGGACTCAGCATCTGGCTGGCTGAGATGACAAAGCCCTGAGCCAGCAGCACTCCTTGGTGGGCTGTAGCTCCTCCACTGGTCTGTAGCTGAGGCCCTTGGTGAACAGTCAGCTGCTGTCCAGGAGATGCCTGGCCCAATGCAAAATCTCTAGCTAACAGAGGGGAGGGTCATTGTGCTTGGGTATCTGCCTCCATGACTGAGCAGTGAACAGGAGCCAGGCTCGGAGTGGGGGGACCTGCACAGAACCTACCTTTGGTCACCCTAAGCCCAGGAAAGGGATGGGGTCTGAAGGAAGGCCTGGGGAGCAGGGTGGCAGGGGCTGAGAAGTGGCACTGGTCATGGAGGCCTCAATAGTCAGGGAGTAGAGCTGCAGGGCAGGAGGGTGCTCAGTCATGCTCCGGGAAGGACCCTGGACAGGTGCAAAAAGAAATTTGCCTGCTGTGGAGGAGCCTGGGGGTCAGCACATGGTCACCTGCTATTGCTGGCCCCTGGTGGACTTGCAGAAGTCCCTGGGTATATCCTGAGGCCCGGAGCCAGTGCTATCTCCTATGACCATTGTCAAGGATCCCTGGGCTGTGCGGCATCTCTGGCCAGCAGTCACCTGTTTTAGCTCTGGGTTGTGCAGGCATTTCCAGCAGGCAGGATGATCAGGTCTGTGGCTGGCAATGTCTCTGTCTCTGGATTCCCTTTTACCTGACAGGTAGTCCCTCCCCAGGGACAGTTGTGGGCCTGCTTTCTTGAAGGTCAGCACCCAGGACTTGTCTTCTCTGCCCTCCCTGTCTCACAGTCCCCTTCCTCCTCTGCTAACCCACAGCCCGATCCACACTCCTCACTCCCCATGTATTTTGTGCAAAAACAGAGGATTAGCTCTGGGCTTCGGGGGCCGGAGGGGAGGGAGGGGGCGGCACAGAAAGCGATTCCTTCGAGATGGACTTGAGATCCTTCTGTGAAGCTCTGTGTGCATGTGTGCAAACATGTGTGAACAGGTGTGCATGTTTATGAAAGCATGTGTATGTATGTGCAAATACATATATATATGTACTTTGTGTGTAGGTATATGTGTGTGTGCACTAGTGTGGCATGTATGAGCATGTTGTGTGTGATAAGTGAGATCTACATGTGGGGCACGTGTGTGCCTGCATGTCTGTTGGGCCTCAGGTCCTCTTGCTGGCAGAACTCTGTTCCTTAAGAGAAGGTATAGGCACAGTGCTGATCTCCTTCTTCTCTTTGTAGGTTTCTGGATTGCATGGGGTTTCCAGGGGCATGTACGATGGCCCCGTGTATGAAGTACCAGCCACACCCAAACATGCAACTCCTGCTCCTTCTGCCAAATCCTCACCTTCCAAACACCAGCCCCCACCCATCAGGAATCTCCACCAGTCCAACTTCAGCTTATCAGGTAGTTGCATGGCAGCCGGGCTCCTGTGGAAAGGGACATGTGGCCTTGAGCACAGGAGGAGAAGCAGGGGAGGTGTGGGCATACCCTCCTGCTGTGCTCCCAAGGGACAGTGTGGGCAGTGTTCCTAGGGCCCAGCATGTTGATTCTTGACTTCAACACCAGTCAGTCCTGGGCTTGAACATGGTTTGGGACACTATCACTCTACCACCATCAAGCTAAGTGTGGAGCCTGGGGTGGGCATGAGACAAGGGCCCGGCCACTTGCTGGGCACCTGCTCTGTTCTAGTCCCCCAGCCTGTCCCTTCCCAGTGGCTTAGGAAGCAGAGTCATCATCTGGATTTCATGTCATCCCCACAAGCTGTTTTCTGGTATTGTTTGAGGTCTCACAAAATTCAGTTTCAAATGCTGTGAACAAAATTCCAGTGCTGATACAGTCTTGGAGACACTTGCCTGCAACTCCATCAGCTGGCTGCGTGAGGGTGGGCACATGCACTCTATAAGTGCAAATGATTCCAGGTGTTAGAGAGGCCCCAGGTGCTGGGGAGGACTCCAATGATGAGTGACACAAAGCTGGGCAGATGCAGGCAGGCCTGGAAGCCTGCTGAATTCCACAGGGCAAAGTCTAGGATGTTACATTAAAATGGCTTTTTAAGATGCAACCATTTAAAAATGTGAACACTATTTTCAGTTCCTGAGCTATATAAAAACAAGCAATGGGCTGAAGTTGGTCAGTGTATCACATTAGCAAACAGAGGGGGTAGCAGGAAACAGAGAGGGTGAAGCTTCAGTTTAAAGTGTGGGATGGCAGGCACGCTACAGGGAAAGTGCATGCAGTGGGTGCCAAGTCAAGGGTCCTCAGGCCGTCTCTCTCCTTTCTTGGAACTGGATCCCAAGTATAATTCTGGTGTTTAAAGATGACCAGTGTTATTGCACAAACGGGCCCAAGCTTTCATCTGATGCTCAGTGAGCCCAGCAGGTTGCCTTCCATGCTGGGAATAACCCTGGGGGGCAGACACCGCTGCCTTGCTGGGAGCTTACAGACTGGACCTGTGGTCTCATTAGGCAACTAAACACTGCAGACCTACCATTAGACATGGACAGAAAAATTCCCTTTAGAACAAGGGTAACCATGAGACAATGATCCGTGTCAGGCCTCACCCTGTCCTCCAGCTGAGCTCTCAGTCCCCTCAGAAGCCCATTGCGTTGTGCTTGGGGCCTCATGGCAGTTTATCAAGTGCCACATTTCCTACCAACCGCTTAGCCGATTTCCTGTATCAGTAGTGACGTCTTTCTCTTTAAACTCGGAGTAACACTGTACATAACTATCACATACTAGGTTATTCCAGTGGGTATAGTTTCATAGTACAGGCACTTAGCTAGCAAGGCACAGAGGGTTATGAAGGGAAAGGACTTAAGTGATAGGCCTGAGTCCTGTGCCTCAAGATTCCTGAATTACCCAGGAAGATAAGTGACCACCAGTGAGACAGCTAGAGAAAATCAGATCTGTACTTTACCAGGCTTTTGGTGGCTTATCTAGACAGGTCCTGTAATGACAGGGTCAGAAGGCAAGTCAGCTAGTCCACGTGCAAACACAGGCTTGTGAAGTGTGCACATATGCCGTCTGTAAAACACCACTGGAACAGGGGGCCCCGCGTGGAGGGTGGGCTTTGGAGGCGAGCCAGTCTAGGTGTGAGTCTTGCCTTCCTGATGTAATAACTGTGTCCCCAGGAGGCACAAAATCTGAGCCTCAAACCCCTCATCTGTGAATTATGGGTAAAATACACAGTGCTCTGAGCCCCAAGTCTGCCTACACACCGTAGGCAGTCGCTAAATGCTCACCTGTCTCAAGGGTAAATCCTACTGGGGTCAGGGTTTTAGGAAGGGGACCTCAGGACTGGATCACTGACAGTAGGCAGGCTGGGGATCAGGGAGGCTTCCCAGGGTGTGCCTGGACTAGGTCCTGAAAGGTTGGGGTGGGTGTTGGGCTGCACACACGCACAAAGGCAGATGGCAGCAAACCTGGGTGATGTGAGCAGATCTAACCCACACGATGACCTGTGCCTTTCAGGTGCCCAGATAGATGACAACAATCCTAGGCGTACAGGTCACCGCATCGTGGCGCCTCCCGGTGGCCGCTCCAACATCACCAGCTTGGGTTGAGGGAAGACGAGCCAGCCGTGCTAGAGTGAAGGATTCTGGGAAAGTGTCTGTTCCTTTTGCTGTCTGTGTTTGAAGCCCACGGTTTTAGTTGGTACTGATGGGGGGAAACTGAGTGATGCTCTTCCCTTCTCTGCTTAGGAAGAAGTGGTACTAGTGTGGTGTGTTTGCCTGGAAATTCCTTGCCCCAGTGTGTGTTCATGCCAACTCCACTCCAGAGCATGGTGTTTTCATTTTTACTTCCTAGCAACCCCCGCCCCCGGTTTAGCATCATCCTGTACTGTCCCTTCCACTTCTCCATGACCCTCTGAGTGATGGTTCCTTTGTGCCCTGTAGCTGTTCTAGGATAGATGATGCATGTTACCAAGTTACGTAAATGAGTCTGAGCGCGGCTGATGGACATCGCCAAGGACTGACATAGACACAATGCCAAGATCTTCGCCCCCCTGGGCGATCCCCAGACTCTCCAGAGCCCCCACCCTGTCTTCACAAGAAAGATGCCTTCCCCATCCCCACCCCACAGAGAACTGTGAATATGCAGAATGGCGGGGGAGCCTTCCACCCGGTCACAGAGCGCCATCAGCAACCCCGTCTGTCAGCAACCCAGTCTGTGTGGCACCTGTAGTTCGCCATGGTGTCTTTCTGGTCTGTGTGTACCTCTAAGCCAGCTCTGGGCTTCCGGCCCAGCCAGGCTCACACCCAGAAAGGGGTGTCCTCACATCCCACTCAGGCCTAAGGACGATGGGGTGATGGCTGCGCCCAGGCTGCCTGAGTCCCGGTCCCTCCGAGGAGGTCAGCGGGGCAGTCAGATTTTTAACGTTTTGTACAGTTTTCCTTTGTAATCACCTCCATTTTTACTTAATAACTGACTTGTTGGTGGCTCTTATTTCTGAATTCAAAGCTCGTGAGAAAATAAAATAAATTGCCCGTTGACTTGGGTGGGTTTCATTTGGGGCGATCAAACGCCTGGCACTCACCTTGGCTTGTGGTGACTGCGTGCTGGGGTCACTGGGAAGACAGAGGGGAAGGAACAAGGTCAGCTCATGATCTCCGGCGGGTCAGGTCTAGACCCTGGGACTCAGGGATGAGAACATATTTGTCAGGGGTGGGCTTCTGGGAAACACTGCTCAGTACAGTTGCTGCCTTCAGCCCACAGCCAGGTCTGCAGGGGAGCTGGGCCACTAAGGACTAAGTGTTCACACTCTTCACATGACTCCCCAGAGCAGAGGGGAAGGCTGGTGATGTACATTTATGTTGGGTGCCACGTTTCTCTCCGACCAAGTCAGCCTGGGGCGAAAGAGAAGAGAGCTCTCAAGTGAGGGGGGCCTCACTAACTGAAGCTGGGATTTTTCTTTGTGGATCCATGGAGGCCCTGTAGGAAAGGACATGGGGCCTGGCCCACCTGGCTTCAGAGAAAAGGCCCTCACTGTGGTTGTTCCCTCGAGGAAGAAGAGTATTACAGGGCTGTGTGTGTGCTCAGGGTCCACTTGAGGTTTGCTGAAGATTTGCTGAGCACTCAAACAGCCCACCCATCATGTCCAGCTGCAGACTTCAAACTCCCTCAAGGCAGGCAGGTTTCAAGGGCCACTGGGCAGCTTGGGTCCTGGCTAGTGCCTGATTGCACAGGGGGAGCCAGCTTGTAGGGGCCAAGAGCCCCACTCTAGGGCAGGAATGTCCCCACTACCCTTCTGGGTTCAAGGCTCTGAGTCTGAAGTGGCCCTGGCTTCACAGCAAGCAGGAATCCCCACTTCCAATTCCCCTGCCTGCTGGCGAGCTGATGTCCTCCTCTATGACCTGGAGGTGGAGCCATGTGGACATGTGCTACCTGAAGGCTTCTTCTTGGACAGGCATCTTTCCTGTCCTCAGTCTCCCTGACTCTATGTTGCTCTCTTTTGCCCCAGTACAGTCTCTAGAGCCCAGGAAGGAGTCATGCCCTGAATATGCCAGGCCCAAAGTTCTGGGAAGTCCTCCGAGGTGCAGATGCTGAGGCAGCATCAGATGTGAGCAAGAATTTGTTAAGAAGACATATGTTGGGACTAGAGAGCTGCCTCAGTGGTTAAGAGCACTGACTGCTCTTGCAGAGGACCCGGGTTCGATTCCCAGCACCCACATGGCGGCTATGAACCGTCCTTAACTCCGGTTCCAGGGGACTCTGAAGCCCTTTTCTGACCTCCGTGGCATTGCACGACACAGGTGCACTCACATACATGCAGGCAATATACGCATACACATAAAAGTAATAAAATATTTAAAAAATGAGACCTATGCCCAAGGGGCCTGGCAGGAGAAGAGGGGGCCAGTCAGACCGTGAGGGTAGCAGCAAGCCTGACCCTTCCTGGCCCAGGGTCCGCGCCATGCCTGCCTAGACTGACCCTGTGAGTCTGCCTTCATCCTGCTGTCCCCAGCTCAGATTGGAGGGCACTATTGGAGGTTAGGGATGAATTTATTAAAACCCCATCTCTGTCCCTTCCAATTCCATCTCTGCTCATCACCTTAACAACTCACAGCTTGTCATCGGACAGCCACCATGGTAGGTACAGGGCAGCTTCCAGCATCCTGGGATTCCCCTACTGATCCTTCTCCCTGGACTCACACAGCACTTCCCGCCCCTCACCAGCACCATGGTGTCCCCAGACCAGAAAACTCCGAGCCCCCTGTGCTCCTCCGGTTTTTGAGAAAAAGGGCCAACACCACAGCACCACCTTCTGCTATGAGACGAAGACATTTAACCCCAAGTCTTCATCTACTGTGCCCCAAACTGTGCTGAGCAGACAGGCCAGGGAGTGGAGCCTGCTAGGACTGTGGGGGCAAGGAGGTGGGGCCCAGCAAGCTCCACTCCAGCAGCACCTGCTGGATGACTCCTGCGGCAGCCAGGATCTCCATTGCCACACAGTGGGGAGCAGTACAGGGTACCCCAGTGGGGAGGATTGAGGCTGTGCCTTGGGAGCCTTCACTAGGTTAGTCGGTCCACCTGTAACCTGTGACCTTTAATTTCAGGTTATCTGGCCAGACCTATCTGACACCCCCACACCACCAAACCAAGGACCCAGTTGACAGCAGAGGGGTCCCCTTGTAAGCCATATGGTCTAGAATTCCCCACAAAGGAAGCCAGAGTGGGTTCCAAACTCCAGGGGGTGAGTGACATGCTTTATAGAGCCACCAGAGGGCACTGTGGCTCACGCTGGAACCCCATCCTGGGTAAGGTGAGGCAGCAGGGTGTGCTCACAGTTCACAGGGAGGATTATAGGGGCAGTAGAGAAGGCTCAGTTGGTAAAGTGCTTACTTTGCAAGCATGAGGACCTGCTAGCCAGCTGGACTAGCCTAACTGGTGAGGTCTAGACCAATGAGAGACCCTGTCTCAAAAAGAAAGTGGATGGCATGTGAGGAGTACCACCCGAGGTTGTCCTCGGGCCTCCTCATCCACACACAGACACACACCCACACACGCATGCACACCCACACACGCATGCACACCCACACATACCCCACGCCTCCCCCACGGACACACGCACACACAGACACACGCAGTGGTGAGGGGCTGCTTTTTGTAAGGGACTACCTTTCTGACTAGCCAGTCTATGTTTTGAGAACCTACAATTCACAGATAGCCCAGGAGATCACCAAAAGGGGTTCCCCGAGTCTCAGAGTACATTATATTCTAGAAATTTGTGGGAATATGGGACTGCGACATGCTGGGCTTGCCCAGGGCAGGCACATGTTGAACTGGCCATGAGTGACACCCCAAGGGACAGCTGGGAACCTTGTCAGTGATTTCCTTGGGAGTCTGATTGGCACTTCCTAGGTAGAGGTCAAAGCTGTGGCCAAATGTTCTCCAATATACAGGACAGCCTGCACCCATACAGGCCTAAAACAAGATCAGGAGTAGCTCCCAGGGTAGAGGCTTTTATTCAGGATGAGCTGGGGACTGATCATCAGAGATCTACACAAGGAGGTTAAGGCACAGATGCTCTCAAAGGGGGAAAGGAAATCATGTCAGGATGAGCTGGGGACTGATCATCAGAGATCTACACAAGGAGGTTAAGGCAAGGGGGAAAGGAAATCATGCTTTGCTTTACCCAAGTCCCAGTCAGAGGCTGGCCTGGGCCTCACACACCCCTCGGGGGACCCAGCAGCTCATCTGAAGCTGTGCCTCCAGTCTAAGTGAGAGTTCTCACCTCAAATGTGCCAGCACATGCAGACCCCAGAGTCCTGGCTCCATGTGGGTCTGGATCTGAAATGAGACTCCATCTTCGGTATCAGCAGCTTTCACACCCAAACAAGGAGTGATCATACCCAAAATGCCCAGTGCTGACTGGGGATCCTTGATGCTGACGGAAGGGGATTTCCCTGGGCGTGAGAAAGACCTCTGGGCTGTTGTACTTATATGGCTGGTATGGAAGCGTCTGGAACATTCTCACCATCCCTCAGGAGGAGCCTGAGGAGGAGCCAGGGACCTCTCCTCAGGGCATGGAATGCTGGCTACTGGGAAGGTTCCACTCCCCAGTGAAGCCTGAGGGTAGAGCCAGCTTCCCATGTCCTCAGTGCCCAAGGAGGAGGTCCTGTGGCAGGTGACAGGTCCCTAAGTCCCCAGTGGCTTAGGACAGGCCTGTGGATCAGGGATGTTATGGTCTGTGCCAGGGACACCTGCTAGAGACGCAGACGGCCCTTGCTAGTTAAGCCAAATGACAGAAACAAGGCCAGGAGTTGGTACCTAGATGGGACACTGGCAGCCAAAGCAAGAGGCAGGAGGAGGACATGGGGAGATAGAGGGGGCAGGGACAGTGGCTTCAGGTCCAGAAAACACCAAAGGTGCTGAGATCCCACCCAACAGGATTTCATGAGAGGCTGGGGGACAGGGACCCAGGGATCTAACCAGATGACACCTGAGTGACAGGACACTGTCTGGCTGGGGACCCTCCTGAGGAAGGAAGGGAACTATACCAGGGCAGAACCCGAGTGAAATGCTATGCTGGCAGAGACAAATTGCCACAGCCCCCATCGTCCCAAGTGACAATGAGGCCACCACTTGCACTTTCTCAGGCCAGTGGCTCCCCTTCCCTACTCCCTTCTTCCAACTGGCCTCTCCCTCTGGTCCCCCAGTCACACGGGCTGCGGCCACGAAGGGAAGCATGGGGCCCAGCAGAGTCAGGGCCTTAGGGTCGTCCTCGGCTCGTCTTGAACTACAAGTCGCTTCTTTTCTTTCACATCTTCGCTGGCCTGCTGGCCCAGCCTTTTGCTGCTGGAGACACAGGTGGAAGGTGGAAGGTGGAGCCGAGAACTCTGCCCTGCCGTCACACTGATCGTCCAGCGGGCTGGAGTGCAATGGCAGCTTCTCGGTGGATGTGGTGTGTAAGAAGCATGCACAGTCACCCAGTGCCAGGGTTAAGGACACACTGGCTCAACCAGCCCAGAAAGCCTGGAGCTGATCTACACTGACAGCTGTCAGCACTCAGTACCTCCTGTTATGATCCCCACCACTTTCAAAGGACATTCCTGTCATTCCCTGGGCCTCGCCTAAACATCCCAGAAGGCCCAGACTCTAGACACCCAGTAGAGGTCAGGAAACAGGCAGTGAGCTGGGGCCCCTCGCACCTGCGTGTTCCTGTGGTATGGTCTATGGGGGCAAGGCCATCATCGTTGGACTGCCCTGGGTCCTCTCTCCCCCGAGGTGGTGGTTTCTTCTTTTTGGTCTTCACAGGTTTCTCTGTAGAAGACAGACAGGCCCACAATGGCTCTGTGATTTTAGATGGAGCCTCCTGGCCGCTGCAGCTTTTGAACATCCCTGGTGAGCAGGTGGTCCTCATCACCTCGCTGCCCCCGTTACCCATGTCACTGCTAAGCAAACTGAGCTACAAGAGGGAAATGTTTCCCCATACCCAGCAGCCTGTCCATGGCAGAGCTGGAATGGAACCCAAGTGGGCCAGGCTCCCTGTTTCTGTTCCACCCAGCAGCCTGCAGGATTCAGGAGGGAGGAATGGCGGGCAGAGAGAACCCATTAACAGCACGTGTGTGCAGAGCCTTTGAATCATACTCCTACCCCCAGGTGACAATAGCCTATGACGTCACTGAAGCGTCCCTGGAGGGTGAAGAGATGTCATTTCCCCACTTTACA